TTCCATGAAAAAGTGATCAGGCTATGGCCTGACTGGCCCTACCATTCCCCACGGCCCTTAGAGAGAATCTGACTGACATTGAGAGAGTTGACAACTATATAGAAAAGCAATAATGTTTTCTCCCAATCTACTACCCACGTCACTAGTCATGCCTTTAGCAAACGTAGAAAGAACGTAGCTCCTAATGTACTACCCACGTCACTAGCCATACCTTTAGCAAATATAGAAAGAACGTAGCTCCCAATGTACTACCCACGTCACTAGCCATACCTTTAGCAAACGTAGAAAGATCGTAGCTCCCAATCTACTACCTACGTCACTAGCCATACCTTTAGCAAATATAGAAAGAACGTAGCTCCCAATCTACTACCCACGTCACTAGCCATACCTTTAGCAAACGTAGCTCCCAATCTACTACCTACGTCACTAGTCATACCGTCAGTAAACGTAGAAAGAACGTAGCTTTCAGAAAGTCTCTGCTCAGGTGATTTTGCTAGAAAAGCTATATTCTATTAGATTACCTAGTTCCATGTCACCACCCTTCCTGGTAAATAATTCAGCAGTACCAACAGGAAATGATCATAACAGTGAATAGCTGCGACGCTAACAGCAACAGGGTTAACCTCATCCGAGGAAGCACGTATGTGTGAAAATGTTCAACTATTGAATGGAAAAGAAGGCCTGGCGTGTGTTTTATGTAACAACTGTACGATTTCTGTATACGATGTAAAAACAAAAGTTTAACTTAGACATTATGTTAACCAAGTGAAGAATAACTTAGAATAATCTGTGCATTAACTTAAGTATTATAACATTTCATGAAAGTGAGAAGTGAAGTAGCTGTTGGCGAAAACTTTTCGATCAAACACTTTTGTCCATAGAAATAGTAAAATCCCCAGATTTCTCTCATAAGAAACTATGAAATCAAATAGTATTTTATTAAATACACGTATAATAATGTACACAATCATCAGAAACTATAAAAAAATAATAATCTAAGCTACTTACATCCTTTAGTCGTGATAAAGACTTTTGGGGAGACAGTGAGTTTTTCTGGATATATGTTTTCCAGTTCCGGAGATTCTGGAATATCATCCGTCTCCGGTCTTACAGATAAAGAATAATTAGTTGACATTCTTAAACCCTCAATCAACGCTTCGTATTCTCCTCGTTGGTGGCTGATTATCACGTCGTGAGAATAACGAGGAAGATTAGTATCCACTAATGATAGAGGTCTTTCCGAGCAGCGATACTGAGAATACCACTCCGAAACCTCGCACAGGTTGACCTTATATACTTTCGGCTCAGGAAGATCAAAATATTTCCACTTCAACTTCAGGGATCTATAGCTTGGTTCAGCAACCAGATCTAAGATAGCTATAAACGAAAATATTTTTATACACACACACATTCACTCGCCCGGCTGATAAAATGTTAACCCTCAGCTCATCTAATACATAAATTTATATTTATAATTCAACAATAATTTGACTCTCGTTATTTAATTTCTGTAGTGCATATTGGTGTATAGGAGTTATTGAATACTAGAAATAAACGACCTTATAACACCTGTTACCTATTAGAATTTCAAATGATCTGAATTTCAGTTAACTGATAATTTAAATTTAGTAGTTAAATTGTACTTCGGATTTAGTATTTAAATAAATGTCGATATATATTCAGTTTGTAATAT